AATTGGATATCAGGAATTTTCCTTCTCAAATTTCATTCCCTGGACAAGGATCATGGATCCACCAAGAAAGTAAAATTTAGTTTTGTTCAAAGTAGATAGGAGCTTATTTTACTGAAGATAATTCCTTAAATATCTAATTCAATTCTAAATGGCAAAAGACAAGAAAAATCAAGCAATTCAACAACAACAAACCAAGTCTAGTTCCAGAGTCGGCTACAAGAATACCTTTTTCTCCACCACTCCGTTCAGTTCATTGCCAGATCTAGCACAAAGGAAACAGGACAAACCAAAAATACCAACCTTAACGTTTCCAGCTTCTTCAACTCTTCAGCTTATCATCAAACTTTTTTTCTAAAATCTCAATCAAGATACAAGGAAACCCATTAAAACGAATCAAATAGACCAGTAAAAAATATAAATAAAATAAAAACACCGACCTCATTCAATTAGGCAAACCCGGTTCGAATATTGGAGTAATTGAATTAACTTCTGAACAGTAGAATTTTGCTTCCGTAGATCCTAGCAGCGAGTAGGGCCAGTGATACAAATAGTGGAAGTTGCTAGAAGGAGAAAAGAGTGATCTTTTGAAGCTCAAAAGTGTGTAGAAATCGGGACTTCTCTTGTTCGACGGAGGAAAGGGAAAGAATTGAAATTGTTCCTCACTCTTGCTGAATGAAATGCATATGAAAAAACATAAGCTGCAAATTCGTGTCTGCAGGAATGGCACAAAGACAATGTCATCATGTGTAGCCTATTATAAATTGATGTTTTGAAAGAATAATGTGTACTAAGATTCAAGGCAAAAGTCGAACCTAGGTAAGCAGGATCCTTCAGGCATGTCCAGAATATATATTCGTCATAAATGGACAATGATCCTTCCCCTCTTCTTCTTCTTCTTGTTTCTTATTCTACATCAGTAAGTCTCGTTCTGTCGCATTAGGAACTCGGGTCTGCCAATGTCGCAATTTGAAGTCTCTTTCATAAATCAAGCACAGCAATTTATAACTGATAACAACCCAACAATTTTAATTGATGACATAGATAAAGATTAATATGCCTTGTGTCCAAGTTTTCCATCATGAACAGCTGAATTAAACTTGACTAAGTCTTGAAGCAAGGTATGAAGATCCTACTTAAAATTATGTACTCATGTAGGAAACTATTACTTAAAATAATTATGTACTCATGTAGGAAACTATTACTATAAATAAGGACTAAGTTTTTTTCCACAGCCTGCAACTCAATTTCTCCAACTTAATTACCTTCCTCCACTCCATTATAATGGCTTCAACTAGATGCACGCCACTCTTCAACACCGTGGTAATACTCAAGTCTCAAATTAATCTTCGATTTTCAGAGATTCAGAATTGACTATACTGAATACTGAGCCAGTGAAAAAATGAGAGAAGAAAACTATAAAAACAACAATGGAGCTCCACCTAATTTATATTGGTTTGAAACTTTTTCAAACTTAACCTAATATGACAAATGCAAGTTCTCCAATTCGAAGATATTCAGTTAAAGGTTAATAGGTAATGAATGTTTACCAAATGATAATGAGATAAGTAACCTATCAGAGAAGGCACGTATAAATTGCATTAACTAGTGCTCTGCTTGCCTAACAAATAGATAAAGACCTCATCACATCAAGAGTGTATGTACAGAGCTACATGGTGGAAAAGAAAAAAACCCCTTAGCAATCAAGGAACCACACAAGCAATAAGCATTACCTTACTGTAACGTGCATGTGCTACAGAAAATTGAGTTTGATCCTTGATAACAGGAAATGAAGCATCACCAGAACCATCTTTGTTCTGAAAAATAATAACAGCGCGTATTGGTATCCTGAGAATTATGGAAAGTAAGAAAAAGACACTAATTTCACGTTAAGATTTTAAACCTTGCCTTTTCATATACATACATATTTCCATCTGCATGAGCAACAAAAAAAGCACCATCCCCATTAGGGACCCAGGCAACACAAGTGCAGCGACTGTTAAAAGGAAACAGAATACTTGGTAAGAAAATCTTGTATTGGTTTTTAGTTTTGAATTATGTCTTAGTTTACTGACGTGAAGCAGCCACACCCTTATGTGGCGATTAATATGACTGAATGCTAGAGTGAGCTTGGGCTTAAGTTACCTGAATTATAATTTGGCCAAGTCCAGCCCATTTCAAGTGCTTCAGACTATAATAACCAACTCTTTTAACTTTGTACATAGATGTATGAGAATATGTGCTCAAGCATTTTAAATTGAGGGAATTGTCTGGAGAGGACCCAATCGAAGAGAGCATGAAATAAGCCTCTTCGTTTTTTTTAATAAGTTTATGTGATCATGCCTCTTTTTCCAATTATACCTTGCCCCTTCTTATGCTCCATTCATTCCTCCTCTTCTCAGCAATCCACCCACCCACATACTACAAATGCAAATCAAGATCTCCATCTTACCATGAAGGATGAATTCATAAGTTTGCAATTTGTGGCAAATAAAATCAGAGAAACAGAATGGATCTCTGTCAAAGAGCATTTGAATCTACTTGGTACCCTCTAAGTAGCTCCGAAGGTCCCAAGTAAGATGTAGGACATGGTCAAGGCCTTTTTTTAAAATAGTAGACTTTTCATCGTTAAAATTGAATTTTAAACAAAAAATTAGTGGGTGGTGTAAGAGCTAATAATCCTTTTGTCCCATTCAATGTTGCACACAAGAGTCAAAGAAATAAGAAACATAAAGCAAAAGAACTACAGTATCACTAAATCTTTCTAGCAATATCCTCACTTTTAATTCTATTTTTTAAGGAAGAATGACTTTTAATTATGATGTTTATTCTAGCTTAAGTTTGATTTGCAGATAGAATCGATGAAAAATAAAATCCGATATAGTTGGAAACGTGGCACTTGATTTGAGACTGTGAGCTATTCAATTTTAAGCAAAGCAGAATTTCTTTTGGAGAAATTTCTCCAGAAAGAAGCTAAGTAAAAGATGTTCACGAAAGAGTGTCTTTCCATTTCTTCTCAGAATCTCGGTAAAGGGCTCGAAACCCTTCTAGAATCTAGAGCCCAAAGAGAAGATAACAACTCTATCCATCAGCAGACTCAATAGCATAAACAAATAAAAGGACATTTTCCCGTTTCCCAAAAAAAATTTGCAAAGCAAACACTAGATGAATAATTCAAGCACTTCCCGATCAATGGACAAGGAAAGAAGAAGAAATTAGATGGGTTGGCCCAAGAGTCACATATCAACTCACGCTTCCTCAACTATAGTTAGTCATTAAGGGTGGGTTTGACTCCGAGCATAGAATTTGCATAAAAAGAAAATAAATCTAGGCAATTGTTTGCCTAGAACTTATTTGTATGAAAACTATTAATTAAATGTGTTTGATTGATTTAGTTTTCAACCTAAAAAACATAATACTTGTTCTTTTTTTATTGGTGGGTAGATGAGAGAGAGGGGATAAATGTGTGAGAGAGAAAGAGATAGTGAATTATCTGGAAAATAAAAACCACCCACCCTAAAGAAAATGTTTTCAGTTGAGGAAAATATGTTTGGAAAATATTTTCCATGAAAAAAAATTGTCAATCAAACACCCAAAAGTAGGAATTTGGATGGAAAAGTGACATTTTCCATGGAAAATAAAGGCAATCAAACACACTCTACAATTTCTACTAAGAATAGTGATAAGGAAAGAGATTCCACACATGAAAAGATGATGTATTAGCGCAAACCATATGAATAATTTATATTAATCAGAACATATATACAAGGAAGAAGAAAGGGCAAAACAACTGAATCAATCTCTTGCCTATTGTTTACAGAACCATCTTTATTATAATGCTGTGCCCCAACAAGCTTCTTACCGACATCTTGTAACTGTTGGCTTAGAGACACCGAATAAACTACAAAACACATAGGCACAATTTTGTCAAATAAAGTTGTAGGTAGCTCATTGCTTGTCCATTTAAATTCCAGGGGAAAAAAATACTTACCATCTCCAGAGTTTAAACCAATAAGCAAATCATGCCCATCCTTTGCGTCAGGATCAAATGCGTGGCACAGAGGATTTGAGTTACCAAAGTGTATAGACTTCATAGGTTCCTGTGAAGAAGAATAACTTATTAAAACCAATCCCACTTGTAATTCAGTAATTACTATAATGAAAAAATCGTCAAAGTACCTTATCATGAGAATTTAAATCGCTAATGAAAATTGCATCACTGATGTTGAAAATCAAGTAAGTCTCTTTGCCATCAAAGTTTGAATTACCAGCAACACTATTGGATATTGAAGTCCCTAATGATCCAATTCTACTATTGGTGCTACTCACCAACTTACTTCCTCCAGCAAAATTATGTGACCTACTCCCATTTCCCCCACCCAAGAATCTTGCTGCTGCTGACCTCACACCACCACCTATGCCCAAACTTGATGACGACGATGTCTGCACTGGCTTATCCTTAAGATGAGCAAGAGTTACCTACAATCAAATTGAAGTCTGTCAAGATTTTTTTTTTCAAATATTTTACACTAAGTATAACATAATTGATGCTTAGCTATCTATACTATAAACTACAAAATTAAAATATCTATCCACGTCAATTCCCTAAAAATGACAGAATAGGTTTTCTAAAATATTGGTTTTGTCAAATGAACCTTAGTAGAAAACCTAGAAAAATTAATCACCATTATTAGAGGTAAAAAGTCTGAAATCAAGATTAAGAAACTTGCGAGTATTAACCTATTACAGGTTCCTACTTTTTTTTCATTCTACTTATCCTATTTGGAAATGGGTAGAGAAGTTCCCATACCAGATATAATGACTTATCTAGATGAAACCATAATAATGCATTTATTCTGCTTGAAACGGTTATATTTTAGCCTTGATATGCAAACCAAAAAAAGAAATAAAAAATATTTAAGAAAATGTCTACCTGGTAAGATCAAAAAATAACTAAAGTCATGCATAGAAAATGAATCCATATCAAATACAAAGCCAAATCCATAAATCAAGATTAATAAATCGGCCAATCCTAAAATCTAACCTTAAATGGGTTAATTTAATCAATGATCACTGAATTTTGTTATAGGTTACTACTTGACCATCGAAGTTCAAAAAGTTAGTTCTTTGCTCATTGAACTTTGCCATGTGTTACTAATTGCTCATCGAAATTTAAAAAGTCACTCGTAACTCACCCAAATTTGAATAAAATTACTCATTAATCACCCCTATCATTTCCATAATTGTTAATTATAGCAAAGTTTAGTGAGCAATGAGTAATTTTGTTCGAATATAGGTAAGCAACGAGTAAACTTTTAAATTTCACTAAGTAAGCAGTAATATATAGCAAAATTTAGTGAGCAACGAGTAACATTTTAAAGATTGATGATCAAGTAGTAACCATTGCAAAATTTAGTGGCCGTTGATTAAGTTAACTCAACCTTAAATACAGTATTCCTATCAAGACATCAAAACCTATTGAGTCCATTTCCAAAATTACGACCTTTAGCCACGAGAATTTCCAAATCAACCAACAAAACTTACCCTAAATACAATCTTTAAAACTTCAGTACCCAGAAATGCAAATGTACAACTATAACCATAAATGAGATTTTGAAACAGAGAGGGGAAAAAACCCTAGCAAGTGAATCGAATTTGGCTTACCTGAGTAGCAGTTTTTCCATGGGCATACTGAAGAAGACCAGCAGGATAAGTCTTCTCATACTGAAGCTTGTACTTGCCTTCTGGGGACTTAAAATACGTCTTTATAACCAGCGACTGCCCGTTGTTCCCAGATGCTGATGCTGAGGACATCATATTATTACTGGCCCCCGTGTTCATCGTCTTTTCACAATTTTTCAAACGTCAATAGAGAATATTCGCTAAAATTATAATCAGACCACGAAATTCAGCTGGGTTTCTCTTTCTTTATGGTTTCGTATATTTTCGGGTTCTGGGCATATGCTGATGCTGTGCTTGCGTGTGGATCAAAGTTCCCTTCTCTCCCTCTCTCCTTTTTTTTTTTTTTTTTTTGGTCCGTGTAGTTATTTGTTGGGCGGACAACTCAAACTGAATCGAACTGGACCCGAATCAAATTGAACTGAATCGAACGATTCTTTTTAAGTGGTTGAATCGAAAACCTATGGGTTAGGTTCGATTTTCGGTTCTATACCAAAAACCGAAAAATCGAATAAAAACTGAATCTCTCTAATTTTTTAAATTTTAAATAAATCAAATTATTTTATTTTTTTTAAATGAATTTGTTAACTAATTAATTTAGTTCTAACGTAAAATATGATTTTACTATTTCTAATTTTCAACCAACTTAACTTAATCAAATTGACCAAATTTACCAAAATCTCTTATTTTACCGTAGTGTCGTTTCTGTCGTTCTATTACTGTGAACTGGTTATCTTCCTCTTCTTATGATTTTAACAGTCAAATTTATGAAAAACTCAATAAAGAGATGCAAAAAGATATCACATATATGTACGCAAAAGATAGAAGTAATTTTTGATTCGTGTTTTAAAATCAACAAGAAATAAGCATGTGGAAGACCTCTTTTTTGAAATTCAATCACATATATGTACGATGCAATAGGACCAAATATTTTTTCTTTAAATAGGTCATGCTTCAACGTTTCCAATCTAGATCTAAATACATGGGATATTAAATCAGGTCTATTATGTACTTCATCGTTGTGCTGTAATTCTTGCTTTATCTCAGGCCAATTAGAATTACAAGTTATTGTTAAAAAAATATCAGGTTTTCCAAATCTCTGAACTAAAGCCATTGCATCCATATATCTTTTTTTCTTATCTCTAGGACCACCAGTGAAAGATGATGGTAAAACAATTTTCTTACCAGTTTTATACCCTCTACATTCCCCTGTTCCAATAGTATCAACAATAACTTGGTATAATTCAGCACGTATATGTTTTTGGTTATTTCTAAAGTAATCTAATCTAGATGTTTCAATTTTCACATACATGTCAACTACATATTGTTGTAAAAGTCTACCAGCATGAAGTAAGATCGAGTTACCTGAAGTCCTAATTTGTAATTTATAACAGTAGTACTCCCGACAAGAAATTTGGGATCTTTTCTTTGATTTTGTAACCCCTAAAAGAAACAAAGAAGACAATATTTGAAATGGCATAGGAAAATAAAAGTAAATTACATTACAAATGGATAAAAGAGAAGAAACAATTTGTATTGACATACCTGCATTCTCTCTCTCAATTAGTTCTTCTGCAGAGTTCATATTTCTAATGTCGATTACATCTTCAACAGCAAGAAAACAAGAAGGGTGTGTTTTAGTAATTTTTTTAATGCCCTCGTGCCATCCAGGTTCACCATAAGGAAACAACAAAGGGTACTGAAGAGGATCATAACAACCAAAGTAATAATGGACTCTATGAGATGATCCAGAATGACCAAAAATGGTTATATCGCGAACTCTAACTTCTGCAGTAGGGTCTTCATCAACCCAAACTGCAGCTATTTGAGATGTTGTTGGAAGATTGTATACCCTTTGATCGAGTTCGGAATTACATCTTATCTGTATTTTATACGTCTCTAAATCTCCAATACTATTTAGAGAGCGAAAAAACTTTGAGTAAGGATTGATCTTTAAAATATCTATCAATTTTTGTAACATTGATTCTGAAAAGCGATCAGAAGTGTTCATACGATTTTGAATTTCATTTTCAGTATCATAAAAATATAATTGTAAATAACTTGGTTTGCCATCATGTGGTAACAACGGGTTTATGTAGTGATACACCTGACCTTGAACTCTAAACGTATAAATTCCTTTATTCATCCTACATAAATCAGTGTCACATTTTACGCCAAACGATGTGAAAGCAAAATGGTTATTGTAACTTCGACAAATAGTCTTAAATTGTAAAGCTTCATGCGACGATGATGTGAACAAATAATACAAATCAGATGGTACAGTACTAAGGCATAATCTAATTTTTCCATCAGAACAACAAAAAGTTTTAGGTTCTTTGTAAAATTTCTTTGCATTACAGTAACTACAAATCGTAGGCGATGGTAAAATGTAAGGTTCAACTGGAATTGCAGGTAATCTTAAGGATGAAATACGTTCACCATGTTCTTCAAGTTCAATTTCATTGTTAAATATACCTGTAGTGTCAGTACAAGATTCAGGACCTAGGATGATGGAGCAAGAAGCGAGTGTCTCAGTACCAGACAAGACATCGTCACGAAAGTGTGAATCTACAATAGACAGATTTTAATTAGCTTCATTAACAAGCACATATACAAAAACACACCATAAAGATCAATTTGTATTAAAAACAATGTAGCTTCCAAGAACACAAACTAAGCACCGTGCTTAGCTTATGCTAAGCATTGTCCTTAGTTGGCAGTTAGAGTTAATTTTTTTTAAAAAAATAAACCAATTAATAATCCAACTAAATCTTAAATATATTAAACTAATTAGGGCCACAAAATTCACTGAAAATCTTTTACAATCCCTCACAGCCGTCTCTCTCTTTCCTCCTTTCTTTCACCTGTTTTTCCTATCCAGGCAGCCGTCTCTCTCTTTCCTCAATTCTTTTCGCCATTGTCCCCATCTATTCATATCACCACTCTTTATAACCAAATCTAGGGATTTCACCAATTTCAGTGTCTCAAGAATATGAGGATTATAGCCGAAAATAGAGATTGAAACAAGAATACGAATTTTTCACAAACTACGGTAGACATTCACAGGAATTCCAACGTCTTTGTTCCGATCTGTTGTTGTTCCTTGTTCACATCACATCAATTCATAATTGCCTTCAGCAGCATATAGGAAATTTGCATTACTGGTGTGTGCATGGTATGTCTGCCTTCATGTTTTTAATTTTTAATTGATACTTCAGATTAAAATAGAAAAAAAAAACTACAACTATCATGATATCATCCCAAGCCAAGTTAATGAGGTATAATATGGTTTATATGAATTCAGACTTCATCTCATATTGTGTCTGTTTTAAGAAAAAAGAGGACTGAATTTATGATTTTCTTTCCATTCTCTAGTTGCTCCTTTACATGATACACGTCTTTCTTCGATTAAAAGGTAGAAATGAGATGAATAGTTGACCTTAACATTCTTATGACACATGCCTTCATTTTTTTTAAGAAAAAATGAAAACTCATCAAATTGTTAAAAAGAAATTATTCATTTCTACACATTTTTCGATGACCGCATTCATGAAAACGAAAACTAAAAATTGAAATAACACATGTTTTTATGAAAATATCTAATACTTCATGCTATATAGTACAAAAAGAAATTCTAAATTGAATTTAAATAAAATGTACAATAACTACATCTCTATAAACTAATAAAAAGAACTTAGATAGGTGAGCATTTGTTTTCCAGCATAGAACAAATTTTGGAAAACTAAGAATTTGAATACACTATAAAATGGTTTTAACTCCATAAAAATAATGAAAACAACCTAGATATGTGAATTTATTTTTTTTTTACAGTGATTTTTTTTGGCTATACTAAGAAATTTTACGTATTCAAAATTTGTCAATCATGAAGATATTAGAAAACATGAACGACTTTATGTGTGAAGAATAAAGAGTAATTGACCTTGTAATTGTGATGCACGTGAAGGACGACCAATATGTATTTCCTTGTTTCCTTTGAATTCCTTTCGCTTTGCATATGATTCTCTTGGTCTCTTATTTTGTATTTTTCTTTTGTTTGTCAGAAAACCTTTCTCAGCTCCATCGTTGCAATCATTGGAAACACATACCCGACGAGAATTAGACATTATCTACAAACATAATGAAAAAATGAAAAATGTTTTCAAACGTCAAAAGCAAAAACTCATTATCCCAAAATTTAAAATACTTCTAGTTCCTCAATCCCAATCATTATTTCCTGTTAAATTTTGATNATCATTATTTCCAGTTAAACTTTGATTTAAAAAGAAATCAGATGCCAAAGCAATTCTGTAAGGTTATTTCAAAAAGCAAATAGTCATAACTACCATAATGAGGAGAAAGATAACGACAAGATAAAAGCTTACGGTCATCCATCTACAACGTAATGCCACATCCCGAACAGTCTTATCTTTTAACGCCTGAGAAATTTTAGCATACCGAACAATGGTGGTATCAGAGTTAAATCTGCAAAAGGTACATTCAGAATCAGATCAGTGAGCAACGACCAAGTAATATCCACAATAACATAAAACCAGCTACATGGGAAAACATTTGGTCCTTTGGAGTGGAATTATTCTTTCTAAATTGGCAGTAAATATGTCAAGTAAATGAACACTGATGTGAAATTCAGCAATTTGTCTTGGTCTGGCCAAGAACACTGCTTTTCAAACTTGATGGGAATGCGAATTAATAGATTAAAATTTTGATGAACCGAGAGCTGAACTTGAAAATGAGGCATTTTCAGCTAAACTTCAAAGCATCCACGTACTATGAGGGTACTATTCTATCACAATTCCCGAATTCAGCACAGAATATTTATGATGAAGAACACCCAAAGACCCAAATTCAGCACAAAAGATCTATGATGAAACTCGCTATATTCAGGGAAGTTGAAATGATAGCATAGCAAGAAAAATTAAAAAAGGGCCAGCACCCAAATAACATACATTTATGCATACATTTATGCAGAATCAGAAAGAAGAAGAGGAAGAATCGGGAGCTGACTTTGTAAGTAAATTTTCGAGTGTGGACTGTTCTTCAGGGGACCAGTCGACTGACAAGCCGGGGTTGTGGCGGAGGGCAGCCTGGGTAGATCTCGCCGTAGAATCCTCCTGCCCGCCGTTACCACTTCTAGCGCCACCATTCGCACTTGCAGCCATCAACTCAGACAACCTGAAAAAAGGCAACAAAAAAGGCAGACGATTAACAAACCTAGATCGATGACGAAGAAAGGACACAGCTGACAACTAAATAAACCTACCAAACGTAGCGGCGNGATCGATGACGAAGAAAGGACACAGCTGACAACTAAATAAACCTACCAAACGTAGCGGCGAAGGTCTATGCTTCAAAACCAAACGTAGCGGCGGAAGCGGCGAACGTCTAGGGTTTTCGAAGGCTTGATTCGAAGAAAACAGAGACGGGGCTCGATTGAATTGAAGTCGAAACGAAGAGAGACGGGACAAACCTACCAAACGGAGCGGCGAAGGTCTATGCTTCAAAACCAAACGTAGCGGCGGAAGCGGCGAACGTCTAGGGTTTTCGAAGGCTTGAGCTCGATTCGAAGAAAACAGAGACGGGGCTGGATTGGACTGAAGGC